TTTTGGATCCTCTATTCTAGTCTTGCCTTCTTTCGTGTGGTAGCCATTTTGTTTTCATCATTGTTGCACTGTTGTATAGTTTGAAATTATGTATGTATTATGGTATTTCTGACTTGTTTCTTTAGGTCAGGTTGTATCAGCTATTTGAGGTCTTTGTGGTTTTTTTCTGAATTTTAGGATTTTATTTTTCTATTTCTGTAAAAGTATCATTGGAATTTTGTTGGAGATTACATTGAATCTGTAAATTTTGTTCTTGATACTATCATGTTTACAATATTAATTTTGCTGATCCCTGAATGTGAGACATACTTCTACCCTCTTTGTGTCTCCTTCAGTTTCTTTCTTCATTGTTTCATAACTTTTCTTATAGATATTTTTTGCTTTTTTAGGTTCATTCCTTGAAAATGATTTCATTTCTTTGCATATAATTCTTGCCATCTGATTGTAAGCTCTGAACATATCAAGTATAGTGCATTGTGAACTTGTTAAAGTGTGTTGACTTTTTTTTTCTTTTTTTTACTGAATCGTTGTCATTCTGTCATCGATTCTAGAACTGTTTGAGGTGATTTTATCTCTTGGGTGTATATAGCTGCAGTATGTTTTCATGGGCATGCAGGTGCACATTTGTACATGTGTCTGGAAGCCAGATGACAACCACACTGACTTAGAACCTGCCAAGTAGACTAAGCTGACTGGCCAGGCTGCCTCAGCTTCCCCAGTGCTGGGATTATATTCATGGGCCACCACACCCTGCTTTTTAATATAAATTCTAGTGTTTAAACACAGGTCCTTGTGCTATTGCTAAGGTATACATTTGTCAACTAATCCCCAGTTTTAAAAATATACTTTGTCTTTCTCTGTTGTATTTAGACCTAGTATGGATCTATTTTAAACACCAATTAGGCTTGCTACTTTATTGTTTTGTGCTTATCCTCTTAAAATTTTTTTATTATATTTAAAAATTTCTTCCTATTACAGTTGTGTGTGTAGGAGGATGTTACATGACTACTTTCATGGGTGTGAAGGTAAGAGGACAATTTCTAGGAGTGTGTTCTCTGCTTCCACTTTGGGTTCCAAAGATTGAACTCAGCTACTTTAGCAAGTATTTTTTCCCCACTGGACTCTCTCATTGTCCTGTTAATATATTTTTCTCCACATGATTTCTTCACTAGTTTTTCAAGAGTCCTCTTTTGATTTATCTGTACCAGTTTTGTTTGTTTTGTTTTGGGGGAGGTGAGTTTTAAACTGTATGTGGTTTAGGCTGGCCTTCAACAAGCCAAGGATGACCTTAAACTGATTCTCTAGCTTCCATCTTCTTAGTGCTGGGATTATAGGAATGTACTTAGCCATTTGAATGTTTGTCTGTTTTTAGTACATCTGTTTTTGTAAATCTCCCCCCTCCCCATGGTTGTACTAATTTATAATAATTTGTGTCTTTTTGAGTATGCATGTACAAACCAGTTTGTGGGTTATTGACATGCGGGCGCTTGTGTGTGTGTGTGTACACATACATGCATACAATTTAGAAGTTAGATATTATTGTCAAGTGTCTTCCTGGGTTGCTCGCTGTGAGATAGGGTCCTTGATATGAAACTGAAGTCACTAATTCAGCTCATCTGCCTAGCTGGCTTGCTCAGGGCTCCCCCTGGATTTGTCTCCAACATTCTGGGATTATAGACAACCTGCCATGTCTGTCCCTTCGTTTTAGTAGGTACTAGAATTCTGATCTCATAGCAAGCAACTTTACCTACTGAGCCACCTCTCCAGCCCCTAACAATTTCTATCTTAATGTCGTGGACTGGTGTTACCTTCATTTACATTTTCTTTTAAGTAAGCCATCTTGTTTCCCCTAGTTTGTTCATTTACTCATTTGTCTATTTTTTGTTTTGTTTGTTTCTTGCTTTAAAAAAAAACCTGTGGGAGGTCTGAATGAAGTCTTAATGTTAAGCTTGCCATTAGATATAAAGTATGTATTTTTATTACTATTATGGAGCAATAGGGTTTTGGCTTTCTTTATACTTTGGTTAAATGTTTTGCTCTTGGTAGTTTCTCTTTTAGAATAGGTATACACTGAGCTTTTCTATTTTCTTTTGATTACCAGCCTTTTCTCTAATCGTATATTCTTTTGTTTTAGATTACTTATGTGTAATGTATTCTAAGTAATATTGTTATATTATTGAATTCACATAGTGAGCTTAGTATTCACATATATTCACTTTATTAAACCAGTAGTAAAAGTTCAGTCAAGTAAATACAAAAGATTCTTGCCTGTTCCAAAACTTTTGTCAGTAATAGTCTTCAATTTCAAACTTTTTTTGTTTTGTTTTGTTTTTTGTTTTTTGAGACAGGGTTTCTCTGTGTGACAGTCTTAGCTGCCCTGGAACTCAATTCTGTACACCAGGTTAGCCTCAAACTCACAGAAATCTGCCAGCCTCTGCCTCCCGATTGCTGGGTCTAAAGATGTGCTCAGCAAACTCTTTGTTTTTATAATGATTTTGAGACACTTTTTTTTCTTTTTAAGTTTTTAAGTATTTTGTCTTTGATTTTTCACACTGTTCAGAAAGTACTTGCTACTGATGTGTTAGGAACATACTCTGAATTACCATTGTCATTTACTATTTTAGTAGCTCCAAATTCTGTGCTTTCATTAAGTCAAATTTGATTGAATTTATCATTCTCAAGTTGTGACTGATTTTCATTTATAGGAATATCACTTTCATGGACTTATTTACAAATTTGGGCTTTTGTCTGTCTTATTCTAGGAGTTGTGATGCCTTTATGCTAAATTTAGCATAATTCTTCTTTCAGATGTTTATTCTTTGTCTTCTGTGTACTAGTACTAAAATATCTTGTATTATTATCTTCAGATGGAAATGCCCTGAATCTAATATGTAATTTCTAAGCATTTTCTTTCCTTCAAACTTCTATTCCATTTTAATTTCTTGCCTGACATCTAAAATAACTTTTAATACCATTTTTATAGACAGTAGGATAGCCTTGTAACTTGGTTAGTTGTTCCATTTAGAAGTAGATCCATGTGAAATGCTTGAGTTTTTCTTTTTGAAGACAACATTTCTCTGTGTAACAGCCCTAGCTGTCCTGGAACTCCTTCTGTAGACCAGGCTGGCTTCGAACTCACAGAGATCTGCTGCCTCAGCCTGTGCTTCCCAAGTGCTGGGATTAAAGGCATGCACCACCATGCACAATGATTTTTTAAAATTTTTTTTCATTTTATGTGCATGGATATTTTGACTGTGTGTATGCATGCATGTATTACGCCTGGTTCTTGTGGAGGCTAGAAGAAGGCAAAGGGGTTCCCTGGAACTGAAGTTAACAGATGTTTGTAAACTGCTATGTAGGTGCTAGTAATCCAAACCAGGTAATCGGAAGAGCAGCAAGTGCTTTAGCTACTGAGCCATCTCTCTAGATTATCTATGTTTTTATTTTAACTGTTTTAACATTCATTTTAATAAGAACCCTCAGAATAAAATAATTTTAATTAAGATATTTAGGAGTGATGCATTTCAAAATAACTAAATTAGAATACTTTAAGAGAATGCTTTGATGATTTAGAAGCCAAAATCACTGGAATTTTAAATGTCTGTAAAACAAAACACGTCAGCAGTGGTGAGATTAGATTGATATTGGGCAAATACATTGATTACCATAGCTCCTTTTATTATTTCTGTTCTTCATAGCCTTAGCATTTGTTATTATTTGTTTTCTATTTTGGGTTTACCTATGGTAAAATTTTTATAATTAAGTCTTTTAAGGCTCCATCTTTAAGATCTAATTTCACTTGGATCCTGCTTGTGAACATTGCCTCCATTGTATTATTCTTCACACTTAGCAGAATGCTAAGGTGACTAACACTTGAATCAATAAGTTCATCACTTAGTACTCACTGTGCTTATTTTGCAGCATTAGATGTTACTTATACAGACCATAAATATGCTCTTGTACCAGCATTAAGGAGTAAGCTAGCTATAAAGTACTGTTGTCTTGAGAAAGTGCTGCCATGGTTGACAGCTTGCTTCCTAGAGCAAGAAAGCTGCTTTGATTCTAATTTCAGTTCTTCCACTCACCACTCACTGAATGGTCTTCAACAAATTACCTAGCCTTTCTGTGGCTCATTTGCCTAATAGATGTAGTATCTGCTTCAAATCTGGCAATCAGTATTATCCAATTATCTGTTACTGTTTCATAGTTTTAAGTGGTTCAATATATTTGAGTTACAGTTATGCTTACTCAGGATAAAACAGAGTTTCTGGAAAACAACTTGGTGCATAATGAAAATTTTATAGCCATTTCTGTTGATTAATTTGCATTTTAATTATCTCTTAATAAAATATGAAATAACCTTTTAATTCAATGAAAATGATAATATTTACGACACTGGTGTGTTCTAGGTTTATGATAGTTGCAAATGTCTTAAATCTCTGGTAAGAAAGGAATGTTTCAATATATAGTTAACTATTATCCTATGATTGTAATGCTTACATTTTAATGACATACAGATGGTTATGATGCAATGGCAACAATATGAAAAGCACAATACTTAAAGTCATGAAATATAAATTTCAATGTCAAACTACAGTTCTTCCTAAAATTACAGTGGTTCAACCACTGTTAGACTAATAAAGTGGGTTACAACATGTGCCTTAAAAGAAGTCAACTAAATGAGGAAATGTGAACGCTTTTTGAATATCTTCTATTTTTAATTACTTTATTATTTTTGTTCATTTTCATATTTTTATTGTAAAGTAAGTCAGTGTTATCGTAAATAAACATAACTTTTTGTTGCCACATAAACAAGTGCCTTTATTTGAATGTTAACGTTCAGATTTACTTCTGATTTCTTTCAGTCCCCCTTATTTTTACTCTTAGTGGTCAGCTTAGTATCCTTTTTTCTTTTAACGAAATCTAAGGCTCATTTTTTGTCATGATGCTGAAAATGTGATTTAGATTAGAATTTTTTCCTCCCTTTTTTTAATCTACAGCAATTGGAACAGATCCAGAAGGAACTAAGTGTTTTGGAAGAGGATATTAAAAGAGTGGAGGTAAGAAATCAAGAAATTCTCACATTTTTCATAGTTTTACCTTAATCTTAATTGACAGTTCAGCTGGGGCAGGGGAACAACAGCTGAATACTTTTTTGAAGGTAAGTAATTGTAATCTAAGTTTATATTGACTTTTTTTGTTGTTGTAATTCTTAAATGAAACAAATTTGCTTAAGTTTCTATTTGCAGTCATTTCCTACTAACCCTTCATTATTTTCTTAAAATTACGTATTTCATTCTCTTATTATCTACATGTGTTGCTTACTGAATACTGATGCCAATTAAAAGTGATGTAAATCCATTGGCAGTATTGCTGAAATTCATAATAAAATGCAAATTACTTAGTAATTCATTGGGAGATTCATAGGCTATTGTGAGTTGAAGTTACTATATTTGTCTACACTTAAATTTAGTGTGTGCTTTAATTATTCATACATATGATTTCCTTTTGATGACATAAAACATTTCAAAGGATAATGAGCATTGTAGTATTTAATGGGAATTCAGTATCCTTATATTTCAAATTTGTATTATTTATATTACCTGTTTAGCTATTTTTGAGCTAAGCCAGAAATAATTTTACCTGATTATGTGCTATAGTTGTATTTTCAAATTTGCTGTTTTTCCATGAATCAAAATATTGCACATAAATAAAAGGGAGGCCAGTCAGTGAGATACAGAAATGTAATTTATGTGATCATCTATGGCCAGCCCCTTTCCTATGGGTTCGTAATAAACAAAAATTATAATTTATGTCATTGTTAAACTTAGTATTTGATTCAAGAAGTGTTACTTTTAGTATTCGTAGATTACTCTTAGAGAGTGACAGATATAGTCCAGTTTCTTTCATTTACTTTGAAGATTTGAAAGTTATAATCCAGTCACCATGCCATTCATTTTATTTATCCTAATATACATTAATAGAGCATCACGTGCATGAATAGTCAATTCACTGTGCACAAAATATGCTGTGTCTCCTCTTTGGTATACTTCCTTTTAGCCTTTTCTGTATTTGTTGCTTTCATTAGTTAGACAGTATTTAATAGCTTTATAGACCTTTAACACTAGGAAAAGCTTCCTTCTTAATTTCAGATTAACTTTGCTGTTTTACTCTATGGAAAGAAATCCTGGAGAAGATTGGGTTTGAAGACAGAAATGGACTGATGAGAGCATGGTGCTAGAACAGAATATAATGTGTATGCTTTTTTGATTTATACATTTTCTATGGAGTTTGTATGATAACTTAAATAATTACAATTTCAGGAAATGAGTGGCTTGTACTCTCCTGTTAGCGAAGATAGCACAGTACCTCAGTTTGAAGCTCCTTCTCCATCACACAGGTACAAGCTTCACATCAGTAATTGTTTGGGATTTTGTATTATGTGTTTATGGTACTCTAGTTCTCAGGAGCCTTTTTAATGCAGACTTATGGAGCCATTGAGAAATGAAATGCAGATATCTAATCATTTTTCTTGATCCTTTTGATTAAGTTAGTGATTAGATATTAGCAGTATTTAAAGTTTCTAGATGGATACAAAGTTTGAATTTTTTGATGTCTTATAAATTAATGTCATGTTGCAAATCAAAATTGGGAAACATAATATAGTAATATTAGAGGAAGTGAAACTAAACAAAAAAAATGGCCCTGGCACCTTTCATTTAAACCCAATACCCAGAAAGCAAAGGTAGGGCATTCTCTGTGCGGTTGAGACCAGGCAGGTCTATGTAGCAAGTTCCAGGCTAGCTAAGGATACAAAGTAAGAACTTGTCTTGTAATGATAATGATAATGAAATAAAATTTTATGGGCATTAGTTACTCTCCCCAGTTTTAAAATGAAGGCATTAGAAAGATGTGTTAGTTTAAGTCTTCCTGTTTTTGTTGTTGTTTGTTTGTTTGATTCTCATATATCATGGGCTGGCTTTGAACTCAGAATCTTTCTACTATGGCTCAACTTTCTTCCCAAATTTATAGTGCTAGGATTACAAGTTGTGTACCTCCATACTTGGCCTATCTTTTTCTTGGTGGTGTGGGTAAGTGTGTTAGTGACTAGTTTCAGACTCAGGGTCCTTTCATTTCAGCCTCCAAAGTATCTGGGATTTTGGACACTTATTACCATACCTGTCTTTGTATTTTTATTCTTGTTAGCATGGGAGATGGAAGCTTAAAGATTAGGAGTTCAAAAATACCCCTCGTTTCATAGGTAATTCAAGGACAAGCTAAGTTACATGAGACCATCCTTCAAAACACAAAATAAACTCCATTTTACAAATTATTGAATCTTACCATCTATATGCTTTGTTACACTAGGGATTATATGTAATTATATATCTCTTGTCTTAACTCCCTAGATTTTAGAATAACATTTAGCTTTATTTGACTCTTTGTAGTATAAAGTAAAATTTATTTCATGAAATATGTGCTATCTAAATATTGGACTTTAGAGTTTTATGTTTAAAATGTTCAAATAAGAGCAATGGCCACCTTGTAATTCACCTTTTTTCAACCAGTTTTCTTTACAACAATCCTAATGATTAGGCCTGTGAGATATTGTTATCATTAAGCCTATCATTCACTTTCTAATATATAATGTCTTTGATAATAGGCTGTTTTTCGTGTGTGTGTGTTATTGTGTATGTGCATGTGTGTGAGAGATAGACAGACAGACACTGGCTGAATATAGGGAATCAATAATTATCCATACCACAGCAATTTCAGTAATAAATTGGCAGTTCATTTCCATTGTCATGTCACTCAATTAGACAGAAAGCATTTCTTAACTATTAATATTCAGTCTGTTAGATTTTATGAATCTGAAAATTACATTTATTTGCTGAATGCCCCTAATAGGTCAGCCTTTTTTGTGTGTGTCTATGTTGAATTTTTCTGACAAAGTTCATGCCTTTATGGAGCTTACCTTTTGGGATGTGTATATGGAGGCTAGGAGAGATACTACACAGGCAAATGTAGAACCATCTTAGGAGTACATAATATAAATATTGTGCCTTCAGAAGATCATTTAAGCAGGGTAGATGTTTGCATGAATATTCCATTTTAGGTAGTTGGGCTTCTCCAAAGAGATGACAACTAATGGAGTGAAGCTGGAAAAAATCACTGTATTTTGTTTAGATTTTAGATGTTTTCAATTTCCATGGGGGAGAGAGGATATCTTATGTCATTCCTGACTTTATACCATTGGAAACATGGAGGAAAGCTAGAAAACTAAAACATGAGTGAGGGCTTGGGTTTTGACTTTATTTGTGAAGGTGAAAAAGGTGTTTCATAAGCTAATCATTGTGATAAACAATTTACTCATGGTACTGAGGGAGCAGAGACAGGTGGATCTCTGTGATCTCAATGCTAGCTGGGACTTCATACTGAGAACCTCTCTCAAAAACAACAAAACACCCAAAATAACAGCAGCAGAATAAACAAGTAAACAACAAAATAGAGTGAACTAGCAGAGTTTGAACAACAACAACAAAAAATCATCTCAGAAATACCTGGGGATATTATAAAGAGCATTAGAGTTGACTTGCTTTACCTTATGCCTTACAGAGGTTGAATTTGATGTCGTAGTCATGAGAAGACATTCAATTTTAAATGAGTATAGAGAATACTTTTCAATTACCTCTTTATTACTCATTAATAACATTGGTAGGTAATAAAAATATAGGTTATTAAAATCATTCTTAAAACTCTAATTTCCTTCATTTAGAATACTTGAAGATTTTAAGTTATTTATCCCAAATTTGGATTGTATCAGACAAAAAGACACTGTGATACAATTATAACTATGCCAGACCCTCAAAACTCACTCCCATGATTATGCTGTCTTGGTATGGGAAATAATTTGTCCAGTAAATTAATCCTTCTGCTTAAAGTACAGAATGAGTAGAATTTTTGGCCTCAAGAATTTAAATCCATCAAAACTCATTTACCTCTGAAATGATAATAATATTTTTTATTTATAGTCATTTCAGAAGTTATGTGTGATATGCTTATATGTGCATGGATGCGAGTGCCTTGCATGGAAACCAGATGAGGATATTGGGTGGCCCGTTCAATCACATTCAACCTTATTCTCTTGAGACAGCATCTTTCACTGTATCTAGAGTGTGCCACCATTTCCCTGATCTTTCCCAGCACTGGGAGTGTAAGTGTATATGGCCACCCCTAACTTTTTTATGTGGACTCTGGGAATCCAAACACATTCTTGTACTTGTACTGCAAGAGCTCTTACTCATATATATTGAGCAGTTGCTTCCTGGCTTTATAAAGCACTTTAATATTTTTTATGAACGTTGTCACTGTCCATTAAATTTCTGAAATCTGGAGATGTGAAGAGTCCTTATTTTAGTCCTTGTTAGTGACAGGCAAGACCCATGTTTGAAATACAAGATTTTAAACACCTATTATCTAGTACAATTCATTATATCTGAAAGAGATCCTAAAGACTAAAAAACAGGCCTAAAAAACAGGAAGTGGGATGGTAGGGACAGCACTTTAGAAAATAAAACAAGCATTATTTTAGATGACAATACATGTCTGGATTGCAGATTTGTTGTGCAGAGAGAGAGGAGTAATGAGTAAAGGGGTCATGACTGAGAGGGTGAAACCCACAGAAACAGCTAACCTGAACAAGGGGGAGCTCATGGACCCCAGACTGATGGCTGAGAGGCCAGCATGATGCTGATCCAGAACCCCCGAATGTGGGTGGCAGTGAAGAGGCCTCAGCAATCTTTGGGGCCTCGGATTCTAGATCAGTATGCATTCAAATGGACTTTGGGTGCCCATTCCACATGGAGGGGTGCATTCTCAGCCTGGACACATGGGGGAGGGCCTAGACCCTGCCCCGGATGATATGACAGACTTTGGAGATCTCCTATGAAGGGCCTCACCCACCTTGGAGAGTCAAATGGGGAATGGCTTGGGAGCTGCGGGGGGAGCTGGGATTGACATGTGTGGTGTAAGCTTGTTTCTAATTTAAATAAATAAAAAATTTTTAAAGTAGCTGTCAAATACCCAGTGTTGAAGTTTTTAAAGTACCTTCAGCATATTTCATTATTTAATTAATATCCTCAATGGCTGATTTTATTAGGGTAAAAATAATATAATCATGCTTATTATAGAAATAGAGACAGATTGTGAATAGCTAATTATCAGGTTAAGTATATTTTATAGTTTTTAGTTGCTAGTAGTTGTATTTTTTTTTTTTTTTTTGGTTTTTCGAGACAGGGTTTCTCTGTATTGTTTTGGAGGCTGTCCTGGAACTCACTCTGTAGACCAGGCTGGCCTCAAACTCACAGAGATCTGCCTGCCTCTGCCTCCCGAGTGCTGGGATTAAAGGCATGCGCCACCAATGCCCGGCGTAGTTGTATTTCTGATTGTATATTTTTAACTTTTTTTCTTTTGTTATTACTATTGTTTGGAAGAAAGGCCTTTTTTTAAGACAGCCTGGCTTCATACTCAACTTTCACTAAAGGCCTTTATTAGCTGTAGTGCTTTAGTGCCTTTGAATTGTTGATTGTTTTTGTAACCTATTTTGTTTAAAGAGGGTAGAGAACAATAGTGATGAATGAAATAAAGAGTTTCTGAAAGTTGTCTTAAATAGGAGAATATATAACCAAATGAAAAACAACATAGAAAACTTTATTTCACCAGGGCAGAGGAAACTAATATCATATGGGTTTGAATTATAAGAGAAGACTTTTGTCACTTTGCATTTATTCTATCCTTTTGATAGTTTTCTTTTGCCAGGTTTTGCCATGCCACCTGGGGACTAGGAACTTATCTAGAGATAGAATGTCCTCATTCACCTCATTTGGTAATGAGGAAACTGAGTGATTGGAAGGTAATTGTCCAAGAGCACATGGCTACTGAGTACCATAACAGGGTCTCTTAACTGTAGCCTATCAAGTGCATCCTAATGTTTTCTCCAGTATTTTAAATCCTCTTTTCCTTAAAGTTCCAAACCTTACTAACCTATTTGGAAATGGAAATAAATCTATTTGCACGCTGGCCCTAGGATTTTTCCCATTTAATAACCTTTCTTGATATATATGTTTAAGAGCTGGAAGGAGTTATGTTTATGGGCCCTTTAATGTCTAATTAGATGGTTGACAGTACATGTTTATGTAAAATTATAAATATTGGGTTTATAAATGGCATATTTTTAGATCAACTTTTCCTGTTACTAAAATAATGTAATAACTGAAGTTAAATTCTTCTTTCTTCATTTTGCAGTAGTATTATCGATTCTACAGAATACAGCCAACCTTCAGGTTTCAGTGGGACTTCTCAGGTAAGTTATACACATAGCAGTATGTTTTGGTGGTTGCTATGAGTAAAATTATCTACATGGTAAAATAACAGAATCACTGTTTATTTGCTTTTCTCTGTTAAGAATTTTTAAAAAGTGTTTTTAGCATAGTGGTTAATATCAGACCTTAAGACGAAGAAAATAGTGTCAGGTATTGTTTGTCTCAGAGATATGAAACGTGTATTTATTGATTCATTGCATATCGTTATGTAAAGCATTAAGCAGTTCTTATATGGATTAGAGGCTTCAATAAAGTAAACACTAACCTCGCCTCTCCCAATTAATTGTATGATTCTTTTAACTTTTATTCTTTCAATCTTTGACTAGGGGATTGATGATATTTGCTAATCTTATTTTTTGAGTTCTGCTATGTATTTAAAAAAATACAGCAAAAAACCCTTTATATTAAAATAATTTCAGATTCAAGGAAAAGTAGTAAGACTGCTAAAAAAATTCATTTATTTAATTCAAATAGTTTGTCCAACTACTAAAAATTTTATCACATTTTCAGACATTTCCCTTTTTACCTATATATGCTGCTTTTCCTTTTTTAAAGTATATTTTAGTTATATTTTACAGTTTTTTCCTCTGGGTTGTTATATTCTTTTGGGGGGGTGTTGGAGGCTGGCCTTGAACTCACAGAGACCTGCCTGCCTCTGCCTCCGGAGTAGATGGGATTAAAGGCATGTGCCATCAACGCTGGGCGATATATATTCTTTACCCATGATTCTTAAGTGTCTGTTTCTTTAAAAACAAAGATGCTGTCTTTTGTAATCACCAACGTAACTGTAAAATTCAGGAAGTGAGCATTATGCTCAGTATCTGTAGAGAAAGTATTTTTTAAAAACACAAATGAAGTAATTTTAATGCTCATGTATTTACGTAGAAAGGCTATCTTTAGTAAATGAAAAGCTCTGGGAACTTAGAGCTTTCCAGTTCATTCTCCTCGAAGGTACTTGGATGACTACCTGTTTCATAGTTTTGAACCTACTTGTTACATTGTTATCTTAATTAGCATGCTTGTGTTGACCTGTTTTGTTAAACCCTTTTTTGTTGTTTTTGACATTACCAAGATTGCATCCAGGACATTGTGCCTGTTAGGCATGTGTTGTACTGCTAAACTCTTCTACCACCTTAGCTTTTTAAAAAAATTTGTAGTGCTACAACTTTTTATTATAGTAACGTTCATAGAGAGGCTTGTATCTCTATACCTATTGAAACATCTGATTCAGGTGTTTCTTATATTATCAGATATGTCAATAGAAATTTTAAAGCCTCAAAGACTTCCTGAATCTGGGAACTAGCTAGTTTAGTGTTTGCAACAAGGCCTTCATGCTTTCCTTTTTAATGTAATTTCACAGTCTAAGTCAGACAAGGTCATCCTATGACTTTGATAAAGTCAGGTAAATAATATACATTGTTCCATAATTTTTCAAGCTCGTAAGAAGCCAAGGTTGCTTTGCAGACCACAGGAAATAACAAGCACACCATATCCCATGTAATATGAATGACTGCTGCCTCTACCCAATACACCTCACTGCACTCTTCTGGCTTTTTGTTCATTTGCTTGCTTGCTTGTGGTACTGGAGCTTGAAGCCAGTGCATCTTACATGCCTACTTAAGCAAGCACTTTACCACTTACTGGGGTATAAATAAGGTTTATTATGAGAGAATTTATTCTACATAACAGTTTTGCTCTGATGCACCTATTTTTTTTTATTTAAATCTTAATCCTATAGATTGTTTTTGATACTCTTACTAAGCCAACTCTTGCTTTGTTTTGGCAGTGTAATTACACATGTCTGTGACTGGAGGGATGTGGAAAGTTTAGATGGAGGACAAAGAAAAGGTTTTCATTATCCTGTCTGTATAACATTGTTTTGGATTTTCTGTCAAATTCCAGGAACTAGGAAAAAGATAAAATAGAATCTAGTAGAAAAAGAAAATGAGTAAAAGTAGCTGTTCTCCAATTTTGATGGTTGCCATTTTTAAATCTGTTACGATGGTATAAAAAGAATGCACAATCAGGTAAAACCATGTTTTGAATCCTGAGCTGTGATCCTTTCTTGGCAAGCCATATATAGTATACAGTAGTCAACAGTGGTGCTGGGCCAGTACAGCAGACCATAGTTCCCTTTCAGGCAGTCAGGGGGGGTAAACAGCAATTACTCTAATGAATTGTTTTATTAAACTTGACTGTTTAGTAGGCTAGAACTGCTAAAAGCATTTTTGTTAATAATATTTTGAGTTTATAATTTATCAGAATATAAACCCTTTCATAAGTTGAGAATTTTTATGACTTTATTCATTTTATATATCATTTATTTGTATGAGTCAAAAGACTTCTAGTGCCCTGGGGCATTATATTAGTATCTTTCTAGTTTTCATCCACAAAATGTCCTGTTGATAATACTGCTTTTTGTTTTCTTTTTCTGTTTTGAAATTTTTTTAAAAAAACATGACTAAAAGCAAATTTGAGGAGAACAGGATTTATTTTAGCTTTCAGTTCTAGGGGATAGAGTTCATTATGGTGGAGGTAACATACCAGTCAGGTAACAGATTATGTTTCATCTGTCACGAAGAAGTGGGCCCAAGCTGTAAAACACACCACCAGGGGTATCCTTGTTCCAACAGAGCAACACCTCCTAAAGGTTCCAAACCTTCCTAAACAACACCACCAACTGGGGACCCACGTGTTCAGATCTGTGAGGCTGTAGGAGATACTTCTTCAGACATCCATAGTCTTCCTCTCACCATAGTCTTTGTTTCAATGTTGTTCAGAAAACTGAAGTATCTTCTTATCTCTTCAGCTGATAGGATCTCTTCAATTGTGACCCCTTGTAAAATTAAAACAAAACCCACAAATTACTTGCATTGCACATACAATGGTTCAGAGTATACATTCCCATTGGATTAGGGAAGGATAAAGACATACCAAGGAAAGAATGGAATAAAGCAAGACTGAAACCCAACAGGACTAATACCAGATCTTACAACTTCATGTCAGTATCTGGCGCTTTGGTTTCAAAAGGCTTAGATGGCTCTACCCCTACAGCTTTGCTGTCATCAGTCTGTTTCTGCAAATGATTTAAAAGGATTGAAAAAAGATGCCTAATTTCTGAATTTCTGTGGGTAGAGTAAATGAATGTTCAAACATTCTGCACTTCCCAGAGAATCCATCCTGTTAGAAGGCAGGGTACTATTGGATAATAAATCCTACTAGAGTTTCATAGACTGGAGTTAATGAATTCTCAATTTTCACCTTTCTCTTTATTGTTATTGGTGTTTGAGGCATGATCTTTCATGGATCTCCTCTGTTTTCACACTCAGAATAATTTTCTCAGTCTTCTGAGTTTTAGAATTACAGGTTTGAACCACTCCTGGCCTTTCTCTTCAGTTATAACAGTATATGAGAAAAAACAAAAATAAGTTGATACAAAAGGATCAAAAATCATAGATGAGCATAAGCTCAGGGAGAAATCTAAGCGATAGATACTGTTTTCACTTTTATACAAGGTCAGTCATCCCAGGCTTTCCATATACATACTTTCTTCCTGTGGTAGCAAAAATATACATACCCAAGTCCATTTTCTAAAGTGGAGTAATATGTGTTTATATCTATATATATATATATAATCCCATGTACTTTGGGCCATCTTTAGATTACTTGTAATAGTTAATACAATGTAAAAATGTTATTAGTTACTCACTGTGTTGTTTAGGGAATAATTCTTTTTTTAAAAAATGGTCTGTACATGTTCAGTACAGATTTTCTTTTTTTCAAGATAGTTTTTATCTCTAGGTGCAGAACTTACTAATGTGAAGGGCCAATTATACCTTGTGCAGTGTTATAAAGAATTAGAATGTATGTGAGGGGCAAAAGCTGTTAGAAACTAAAGGAAATAATTAGGTAAGATTTACTTTCTAATTACTTTTCATGGCTACTTCCCAGCTATTAATACTGTAATTGAAAATACTACCTTGCATTTTTTAAGAAGAAAGCTGGTACATAGAGCATCTAAACAGACTGACCAAGAAAGTGTAGCTAGTAAGAAGAGAGAGCTGATATTTACAGAGCCCTATTAGAGGATCTGAAGACACATCATTGAACAAAATCAAAACACAAACATTTCTATATTAAGCAGTCTTGTAATCTAGTTGGAAAGACACTAGTAAAATAAACAAAGATGACTTCTGAGTGAAAAGTGAGAGTGAGTTATCTGATTTTATTTGGGTATAAGCTCTAACTGCAGGAACAGTAGATAAATAAGCCATTTGATAGAACCATGATTGGAGAAAAGTGAACAAAAGAGAGAAAAGTGGAGAATGAAGTCAGAAATGTGTGTATCACAGAGTACTGTGGACATGGCTTCCTCTGGTTTTATAAGTGTGAAGGCTTTGAGTTTTCTTTTGAGTTCTTAGTGTTCCTCATTAAAAAGATATTTCATTTTATCTTTTGGAAGCTTAGCAAATTGAATTGATTCTAAAACAAGGTATGTCATGCCATCTGTACTCTATGATTAGAATCTTAGAATTTGGAAGACAAACTAGATTTCTGTGAATACTCTGAATCATTAAATAGTTTCAGATATAAATACCAAAAAAGCAGTCAATGTTTTTACTGATAGGTTAAAAAAGTAAGCATTTACTGAAGGAGTCTACAATATTAAATATGAAAACGAGATTTTCATAGAAGGACACACACATGACAAATTGAAGTTAGTTATCCTCACAATATAGGATAAGTGAAGTTAATACAGATTAATAAGAGTAGCAGTCTTAACCGTATAAGTTTAAAAATACATACAATAAAATAAAGCATTCATAAGGCAATTTAGATAGACTAATGACTCAATTATTAATTTAATTTGTTTGTGCTAACAAATTTCCACTAGTAATATTTTTAAGTATACAGAGAATGTGATCAATTGCCTTAAAAATTTCTGATGAAATGAATGATTTGGAGGTTAATATGAAGAGAATACTTACCCAATCAACATAAAAGAATACTGTAACTAAAAGCAAAATAAAAATTAACAATCTGATGAGAATATCATTAATAACCTATGCTAAAGGAGTTTATGAAGTAGTGCAAAGAAAGATTAAGTATATTGTATTTACTTGTATGTACTTGATAAAAGAGTCCAGATCAAATACATAATTGATTAAATAGAAGTGATGAAATTAGTCAGCATACTTCTAAGGGCCACAAAAAAAAAATCTAGAACCATGCTGGGAAACATCTTCATAATAATGTATAAAAAATCTTACTTGCTATAAAATGTTAAGAATGAAAAGAAACTACTGTGATGCTGACAAATTTTTAATGCAAACTCTAAATAGGGTTAAACATGTTGCTAAAAGATATAATTAAAGATATAAAAATGCCCATGTTCATGTCATCTGACATGATTCTGAATTTCCTAATAAGAGGTTAATACATGGTACCAAAGAAGTCTTCTGGTGATTCTTACTGGCATCAGAGAACTCAGAATGAGAAACATAATCAGGAATCATTTAAGATGAGGGTACATTCTGATAATCACATCATTGATTGTTTCTGTATGAGAATCATATAATGTACTTATAAAAACTTCAGTGTTGTAGGTCAGTCACTACACTTTAACGAATGCAGCCAATTGCCAATAAAGACAGGATAGGCGAGTCTGTTTTCCAGCAAACAATTTTATAATAAACTTAGTGTGTACAAATAAGACGGCATTCCAAACTATCAAAAATATATGGTAGACAAAGTACCTGATCTAGGAACAGAGTTGTTTAATGCTGTCACCATGAAACAATATTGTTATTATCATCATCATCATCAATTGGTTTTGAGACAGGGTCTCTATACATAACTCAGTACATAGACTTCAAAACTCACAAAGACCCACTTGCCTCTGCCTTCTAAGTGCTGGGATTAAAGGCATAAGCCACCATGCATGCTTGACTATGAGACAGTTCTTATAGCAGAGGGAATAGGAGAATTTATTCTGTGCCATATATGAATGAATGATCATGCCTTGTGGACAAAGATGTTCCTCTGAGGAAGCAGTTACACAAGATTTTTATGTCACAGAACAAAAAATGTCATAAATCAAACATACTAAATAACATAAATAGGGACATTAGATCAGTTATGGTACCATATCTAGAAAACCTCTGCTAATAGCTTTCAGATGCTGTGTGGTGACATTCTTAGCTTTGGACTTGGGGAAAATTAGCCATCTGCTAAGCTTATGCATTCTAAAGGTATGCCTGGTGATAGAGAGTGTTCTAAGCAAGATATAGTAGGTGAGCACTAAATAAACAAGATACAGTAGGTGGCTGTATAAATAAATAAAGGGAATAAATAAAAATAGTCCAAGATAATTTTGACTCCAAATTTACCAAATTTCAACTTTTTACTGTCACAAGATTCTAATTAGTCTTTAAAATAAGTGTAATATTACTCCTGGAAATGCTATTTTATACTATCATTATTTAATGTTATGTACTATATATAATTACCTGGTATATACTTACACAACTGGCAGCACAAGAGGTTTGTTAATAATCTGCAGTGCTCAAACACGGGAGTTGTATGTTACAGTATTATGACAATAGAAGCTCTTCTGCTGCTAGCATTATGGAACCAGTCTATTATGGATCAAAACATTAAGTATCACATGACTGTTCTTATTTTTGCATAGCTGCATTTGTGCTCCTATTCATGCATGCATGTGTGTATAGGAGAAATAGAGAAGAAAATGGAGTTGAGTTGGTAGTCTTCTATATACATGTGGCAATTGCTAGAAACATTTGATTTAATAATTATACACATGGAAATCCTTTCTAATAAATGATTTGAAGTACTACTTAAAGATGATACAATAGGGGCATAGAGATGGCTCAGCAATTAGGAACACTTGCTGCTCTTCAGATGACCTGATTTCAATTTCCAGCACATGTCAGGTGGCTCACAGCTACTTGTCACTCCAGTTGTATGGATTCCAGTGCCCTTCTCTGGCCTCCATAGACAGTGGCCCACATGTAGCATATGCTCCCACAGGCACATATATCATAAAAAGATAAACTTCTTAAAACGGGGTTGTGGTCTAGTAAATTCTGGAACATAAACATGCTAATTAAAAATGTTCTGCAAGTATAGAGTGAATTACACTTTTAAAAACAATATAATAGATGTAATAACATTTTAAAATGCTGACAACATGATTAACAAAAGCCAGAAATATATGACCTTTATATAGTAGAGGTATTTTATTCTATAATTATCTGTTGTTTTTGCTTTAGAGTTTTTGTATAGTTTTTGTATTATGAGCAATATGAAATTACCATTAAAAATTAGAGGGACTTAATATTTTAAAAGTTTCAGTAGCCATTTTCTTAATACTGGGGTGTGTGTGTGCACACGCGCGTGCGTGCGTCTGTCTGTCTGTCTGTCTGTCTGTCTTAGAACTGTCATTCAGGCTGTCCCGAACCTCACTGGCATAGCTCATTCTGGCCTCAGATTCAGAGGGCTTCTCCAGCTTCAGCTTCCTAAATGCTGGGATTACAAGCATGAGCCACTGTTCCTGGTAATAATGACCTTTATAAGAAACGAAAAAAACAAAAAAACTACCTAATGGTTCCAAACTGGCTTAGAATCACTGTTAGGATGTGTAAGTTGTGCTTGTTGTGTGACGTTCCATTTCCTGTGAACTGTTACAGCTCCTCATGACACTGGCCTTTTGAAAAGTGTAATTTATTTCTTAGGGTATCTTTTTAAGCTAAGTTTTAATGTCTCATAGGCTATACCTTCAGCTTCCTCCTGGTTCTAGACCACAGTACTCTTTGTTCTTAGGTCTTTTGTGAAATTTTCCAATTCATTTTAGCTTGTGAGCTTTAGTATCACCCTATTTAGCCTCTTGAAGAAGTCTTGAAGGGGGATGAGGTGGAGTATGGGATATTGTTTACTGTTAGAGTTTCTGCTTTGAGACCCTGGATTTCGTCCTTGACTGCTCAAGAGTGTTTCATACTTATTTCCTGCTTCATCACAGAATAGGAAAATAGAGTATATGCAAGGGTCCAGAATGAAGAAAGGTTAGTTTTTATGATCTTCTTGAGAGCCAGAGAGGAGAATCCAGAAAGCTTTTATATAGAAGAGTAGTTCATAGAAGATATAATTATTTCTGGATATGTTGCAGATGTGGTGCCTACAAAATCACTATAGGGATTTGAATTAAATGTTTTTGAAGCATGTTGAGTGGTAGGAAAATATATTTAATCTTTTTTAATTGTTGCTCATTTAGCAGATGAATCTCTCCCATTCTTTCCATCCTCCAGCCCTTGTAACTAAATTTAGGTTACTTCAAGATTTTTTTTTCTGTTGTCATTACTGTTCGTTTATTTTTTCCTTTATCTCGTTCGTGTGTACACACACACACACACACACACACGTTATAGGTTTTTTGTTTTTTTGTTTTTTAAGCATTTTGGAGACAAGGTCTCCTGTAGCCCAGGCTGATCCTTAAACTTGCTTTGTAGCCAAGGTTAATTTGAAACTACTGGTGCCTTTGCCTTCTTAAGTCCTGAATGTATAGGCCTTTTGTCATCACTGTCAGTTTTATATGGTACTGGGAGTGGAAACCAGGGCTTTGTGCATGCCAGCCAAGCCCTCGTCTAGCCGGCCTGCATCACCTTCACATCACTGTTTTATAAAGGATGTTTCACTTTTGTTTTCTAATCATCTTGTGAGTGGATTGTTTCCTCTGTATTTACTTGAAAAGAAAAATTGTAAGAGTGATCTGGGAATTACAGCTTTTCACCATTTGTGGCCACTTTATTATAATGCACATTTGAAAGTCCATAAATAAGCATTCGGCTATTCTATGTAAGAATATGGGTTGTATGGAGTTGTAAGTGTCTTTTCTTATCACTTTAGACAAAGAAACAACCTTGGTATAACAGCACATTAGCATCCAGACGAAAGCGACTCACTGCTCATTTTGAAGACTTAGAGCAGTGTTATTTTTCTACAAGGATGTCTCGTATCTCAGGTACATGTTCAGGATTTCTTTTAAAATGTCTGAAAAATCATCCTTCAGATATATTTCCAGGTTCAAATGCTAGGTTTATGGAAAGTTCTAATGCCAATTCAAATTATGTGTTTTGACAGTATCTGTAGTGTGAGGGATCTTCGAGATCTTGAAGAATGCTGTTTTCTACTGGTAATGTCTATTTCTCATTCAGGAATGTTTAATCTTTCTAGAGCAAGCTATATAAAGTTTGAAAAAAATAACCATGAAAAAACAAGTTATATGTAATTAGCTCCTATTCAACATTTTAAGCACTATTGTTTGTACTGAGGATAAAAAAATGAAAGAATTGATTACATTTATCATAAAGTGGGATGTTATAAATCTGTAGGCAAAAGCAACAGGTAGTTAATAATTCCATGTGTTCAGTGTGCTATTGTGCAGTGTCCATTGATAAAACTGAGTGGGAAATTCTAAGCTAAAGTGAAAATGCCCAGCTAATTGATTCCATTGGTAGTATACCTTTAGTAAATGAAAACATCAAGGGGAAAATTATCGGGTAGTATATTGGTTATTAAAAACTGAGTCTTGATTTATGTTACAATATAAATATTTTTATTACAATATTTTATATGAACAGTTTGCACCCTGGGTCTTTGTGATAAATTTGCCTTATAATTGGTGATGGAGAAAAGATACTAATTCTTGTAAGCTGAGTTTGTGGCTCAGTTGGTAGAATGCTTGCCTGGCATGTAGGAGATCCCCAGTACTGTATTTAAAAAGTAAAAATAAACATGGTGTGCTTGCCTGCAGTCCTAGTTTGAGAGTTAGAGGCAGTCCACGCTATAAACACCCTATATGTACACGGATACACATCTAGAGAAATGCTAAAATTTGTCCTTAACCATATTTCATTTGAGATTAATGATGAACTTTTTTAATGGATGAAAATGTTGCGTTCACTGCCAAAGGAGTATATCTTATATCAAACAAGTGTCTATAATAGTATATGAATATATACTACAATAAGAAATGGTTCGAATTAATAGTCTCATACCTATATCTTGATAGGCAGTGAATTCCTGTTAATTCTTTAAACATTTTGATACCGAGAATGGTAGACCTAGAGTGGATACTGAGATAATTTCTTTGAAGTGAAGATGATAAAGAGCTTGATATAGAATTTACACAGATATGCTTGCTATAAATAGTAAAAGTGATAGCTAGGTAATTTGTTCTAGAAGATGTAGATTTATAGTAGAGGAAACTAAGTTCACACCAGAAGGCAAACTTAGATATTTTATTAATGTCTGTGTCATACTTAAAGCATGCTGTCTCTGGTTTTTAGAAATCTTAAATTATGTTGGATTTACACATTGACTACCCATAACTATACTACTGAAAATGAGGTTTATTTGACAGTAAGGAGGAAACCTTCACTTGCACCCAGTGTAGTTCATAAAATGTTGACTGAACGTACTATTTTCTACCTCTATCTTTTTTGCAGCTCTGAAAATGGCAGGTAATTATTAGAACACTAATGTCATGACCTCTTAATTACACTTAAAAACGGATATAAATGAAAAGTCATTAAGAGGAAGCGAGACATTTGAAAACACTTCTCTAAACTATAAGATGGAGAGGTGATATGCTGACATATGTATATCTGTTAATGTTGATCATAAAACAGCCAACCAGGCAAAATCCAAACCTTATAACCAGATATGTGAAAAATAATTGGTATATGCTTAGATACTGAGATAACAACTTCCTTTTTGTAGATTTATTTGTTTTGTTTTACATATGTGAATGTTTTGATTGAATGTATGTCTGTATACCACTTGTGTGCCTGGTGCCTGTGGAGGTCAAAAGAAGACTTCAGATCCTCTCTAACTAGAATTATAAATGGTTATAAACCATCATGTGGATGCTAGGAACCAAACCCAGGTCATGTCCAGCAAGTGCTTTTAATACTGAGCCATCTCTCTAGGGCCTCCCCCCCTTTTCTTATAAAATGTTGTATGTTTATATTAATTAGCTTGACTGATAACTAGGAGTACATGTACACTAGAAACAAATTGTGGTCTTTAACAGAGGATACATTCTTGAATGCCTTTGATTATGTACTTAGCAGGAATTGAAGGCAAAATGTGAAGGAAGATTAACATTAAAAGTTTTCTGAATGAATAAAGAACTTGTTTTGTAAGTACTTAGCTCACAATAACAGGGTTACAAATAAAAATATTGTTATCATATCCATAGCATTCTATAGTAGCTGATTTTGGTGGCTGCCAGCTTCGTAACCCATGTTTTCTGTTGAATTTTGCCACTGTAATTTTTGTGAAATAGCATATTTATCTCATTTGTGATATCACATGCTAATTAGGTCATTCTTATACTGGTTTTAGAATAAAAACACTACTAACTTGGACCCTTTTAGTCTAGATTATTTTTACTAACTGCCTAAATCTTTGACATTTATGAAACATTGGTGATGGAGTTTAATTTCTTCAAATAACTTTGGTTTTATTTTAAGTATTAGATACATTTCATCATATTGTTTAAGTTTTCAAGATAATTTTTTAAAACATTGTTTTTGTTGTGTGGTACTTTTTGAATCTTAATTTCATTATACCTGTTGTTACTTCAGATAGTTTGTAATAAGTGTAATCATGAAGTTTATGTTGACAATGCTCTGTGCATGTATGTGGTTGAGAAAAAGAGAAGTTTTGAGAGATAGCATTAAAATAATTCATTTTAAATTTTGGTGTTTAGGGAGCTAATATAATAACCGTGTGTTCTAATTTTTGTTTGTTTTGTTTTGTGTTTTCAGTTTTGGGGCTGAAAGTTTATAAATACAGGTTTCCAACAGCCTTGAAAAACTAAGTATTTTATCTGTTTTACTGAAAGCATACCTTTTTATTAGAGAATAGTTGTGATCTATTTTGTAATGTTCAGATTTAAATTTCAAATGGCTTAGCTTTGAATAGATTACCTAAAGGTGGCTTTGTCTGATATTCTATTGGATGTTATTATGTTATCTTTGAGAATCAGTAATTTATACATTGCCCTTCTATACTTCTGAGAATAGGACTTAAAACACTTGTTATCTCAGCACATTTTAATGTCACATCTTTTTCTTGATATGTATTAATAGTTTTTCTTTGTCCATAAATGTGCGATAAATGTACAACCCTGTAAACAATATTTTTAAACTAACAAATACCCATTCTCATGTAGATCTTCCTCCAGCCTTTACTGTCAGCATTGATAATAGGAATTTGATTTTAATGAGTGATTTCATTTCTGTTCACTAGAAAGTCTTAAAATCAGTGCTAAAACCAAAGTAGCAGGGATTACCTTTACATTGTCACTGGCATTAGAAAGGCATTTTAGTGACTCCCTAGACCACTTTGATTAAAGTTGTAAGATCACCTAGTTAATTTGAACTTTCAGGTAGTCTTTAGAATCTTCAGAAATATTTGTTATTTTAAAGGTAATCTTTAATATGAGGATGTTGTTCTTTACTTCTTTTATTCTTTTCATTTACTTAATATCGTTTTTGGTTTTTGTTTGTTTGTTTGTTTTTTTTGATACAGATGACAGTAGAACTGCAAGCCAGTTAGATGAATTTCAGGAATGTCTGTCCAAGTTTACTCGATACAACTCTGTAAGACCGTTGGCCACATTGTCATATGCTAGTGATCTCTATAATGGTTCCAGCATAGTTTCTAGGTAAGTGTTTGACCCACTTCTTACTGTGTTCTTTTGTTCAAATATACGAAAACTTAATAATTTGAGAAGCAGCTATAACATCTCTGAATCTGTGAGCTAGATTGCCTTCCCTTTACTAGAATTTAGCAATTTAGAATGCTCAGTAGTACCCATTTGACAGAAGGCAACTTCTCTTCATGTTGTTTTCTGGGTGTAATGACTGAAGGTACTCCTTATGTCCTCCTTTCACTACTGTATACAGTTTTCCATTTCTTAAAACAATGGGCATTCAAAAACCACCAGTTTGTATAACAGTTAGCTCATTTTCAGTAATCCCTTGGCATCTACACATTGCTGTCTATGTTCAAACTTACTAGAATAAATAGACTTTAAAGACATTTTAAACAGATGAACAATTTCATCTGTTGACTTATTGTTTGTTGCTGATTCTACCATTAAGCTAGTCAAATTTTTTTTAATGAGTTTTTTTTTTTGTTTTTTTTTTTTTTTTTTTTTTTTTGGTTTTTCGAGACAGGGTTTCTCTGTATTGTTTTGGAGGCTGTCCTGGAACTCACTCTGTAGACCAGGCTGGCCTCGAACTCACAGAGATCCGCCTGCCTCTGCCTCCTGAGTGCTGGGATTAAAGACGTGCGCCACCAACGCCCGTAAGCTAGTCAAATTTTAACTTGTGAATATTACTAAAACTTTGCATGCTTTTCATGTGGAAGACTGGAACTTTTATTTACATGTATGAAGATTAATCTTAAACTCTGAGCCATTAAAGACACAATTGCAAGAAGTTTTCCAGAACTTTCTGGCTGCTTGTAAACAAGAAAAAAAAAAACATACATTGATTTATTTGGGAATTTTTTTTTTCTTGGGTGAGTAGAATTTGAAGCTGCAGTGGAATTTGAATTTCATTTAATTGCATAATCATCTAACAAAATTTCATTGTTTACCTGCTATCACCTAACTAAATGTATACTCACAAAGAGGCTATATATATAGATGATTATATTCAGGAGACCTCACAATCTTACTTTTATGTCTTTATGATATAATGAAGTAGTTTATAAAACAATATATCCTATAGCAACAGGTTAACATTATTACATAAATTCTTAACTACGGACAAAAATATATGACATAGGCTGCTAAATGCTTCAGAAATGTAGTTCGAGTGCAAAATTGAAAACTATGAAAGGAGGACCTGCTGACCTGGCACATGTCTTAAATCCCAGCATTCTGGAGGCAGAGGCAGGCAGATCTGTATGAGCTTGAGGCTAACTTGTTTCTATAGAGATTTCAGCCCAGCCACTAGAATTACATGTGCACGCTCTCTCTCCCTCTCTCTCTCCCTCCCTCCCTCCCTCCCTCCCTCCCTCTCTCTCTCTCTCTCTCTCTCTCTCTCTCTCTTTCTGTTTCAACCCCCCCTTGTCTGTCTTAAAAAAATATTTTCTAATACTGACTCGATATGACAAGCTAAAATATTTGGGCCCTGTTGTGATTCCAGTTAATGTCCCTTACCATTGTTAATTTATCCTGTATGGTATTTTCCTTTTCAGTGAAAAAATTTCTTTTAAACAACACATTGCAAAAGCAGAATCTCTTTAATTGAGGGATATAAGACTAACAGTCCATTTCAAGAGGAATATATCCTTAACATTTTTAAAACCTAGTTTTGTTCAATTTAATAAATTCCCAAATTTAACAAAGGTAGTTATATAATTTTACCATATCAAGACATTCATATCAAAGCATTTTATATTCTAAACAGAAGAAGCTTAAAATTAGACAGAATTTCAGCTAGACATACTGACATTCAAAGTGAGGCCAGGTACATTTACATATTTTAAATTAGAATTTTGCAAATATAAGTAGATGTGGTTGTTAATTTGGCATGGTTAGCCTTTATTATTTTCTCAATTATATTGAATTAATATTTCTTAATGAAAAATTTCCAAAATTGGAGGTTTGTTATGCAAACAGGACAGATGAAAAATAATAGGAAGCAAGAAAGGATGACGCAATCCAAAATGAAGGTGCTTTGAAACTTTTATAATTTTGGTGACTTATCTTGGTAATAAATTTATTGAAAGCTTTGATTCCTTTTAGTTAGTAAAGTTAATAAATTTCAGAAAGAGGGTTAAAAACCACAAAAACAGTGTTAGCTAGAACAAAATGTTATTCTTACCAAAATTATGTAGGATCTGTGTCACACTGATCACCTTCTTGCACTGATACTTAACTGAGAAGAAAAGCACTAAACCAGATAGATCCTCTTCGTCCTCCTTTGCTTGTTTGTTTTGATACCAGCTCCACTAGTCCACAAGGTGGCAGCATTTGTTTACACTGTCTCAGCTGTTACATAATTGACTAAGTTAGAAATTGGTTGCTTATACAAGTTCATTATCTTGTTTATTATATGGCCCTGAATTTATAACAACAAGTGATGGAAAAATGCTTCCTACTTTTTCTTTAAATGTAGCAGTTATATCATATTTTATATTCGGTCTTCTATGACCACAAGAGAGGATTGGCTTGAAATTGTATCTTTTAAAATAATTCAGCATATAGTAGTAGTGCTAGTTGCATCCTGGATTTCTGTTTTGAATTTCACATTCTTATAGTACAGAGGTTTTTAAACTTCCTTTAATACTGTTCCTTATGTTGTGGTGACCCCATTCATAAAATTATTTTCACTGCTGTTTTTAACTATAATTTTGCCTCTGTTATAAATTGTTAATATATGTATCTGTGCTTTCTGATGGTCTTAGGCCACCTCTGTGAAAGGGTCATTTTACCCACCCACCCCCAAACCCAAAGTATTGTGACATACAAGTTAAGAACCAGGACTAGAGTATATGTGAAACTATTAACTGCTTTATATTATTTAATTGGCTTTATCATTTGGCTTATGTTTTCTCAAGTTAAAATGTGTTGTATTCAGCACTTTTGAACTCTTGAGAAGTAAATGGTTATATTTGTATGAATAATTGATATAAAATCAGTCACTTGTAAATTAATCATTTACTGGTTTTAAATCATTTACTGGTTTTAATTACTGCAAATAATTAAACAGTACAGTATTTTTAAGACAGTTGTAACTATTTTACTTGCACTTTTAACACACCCCCTTAGAGTAAGCTTCGGTATATTATAGGGAGGAAGCTGAATTTAGGAAAAATGTGACTTGTTCAGAATGGACACAGTGTAGGTTTATACTGTGGTGTTCTACTGGTCACTGAAACTACTAGAATTAAACTTTGTTTTAAAGTAGATGTTTACAAATACCGCTTTTAGTAAACATCAATTTATGATGACAGCCAGTGTTGTTCCACAGTTAGGGTAATTTTAATGGTCTGTTTATAGAATTTTTGTGAGTTTTAATTTTATTAAGTAGATCTCCAGGAAATCTTTCTGAAGAGATAAATTTTAAGGAGTTATTACCAATGTTTTTTTCTGTTTTGATCGAGTATATTTCTGTTATTAAGGCAATCATTAGCTCTGTAGGGTTGGGTGAAATGAGATGAATAGGAATGCAGAGGATAGCATTTCCTTCAAAAATCTTCCCTAGAGCCAAAGTTCAAAAGCAGTGTATTAAAACTATATTTTATGCCAAAAGCTTTATTAGAAAGGGCTCTTACCGCCGGGCGGTGGTGGTGCACGCCTTTAATCCCAGCACTCGGGAGGCAGAGGCAGGCAGATCTCTGTGAGTTCGAGGCCAGGCTGGACCGACAGCCTCCAAAACAATATAGAGAAACCCTCTCTCGTAAAACCAAAAAAAAAAAAAAAAAAAAAAAAAAAAAAGGGCTCTTACCTATCTGATTTCCTGCTATATTCCTAGCTCTGACCCATGGTAGGTACTTAGTGACAAGTATTTGCTGAGTGAATGTCTGACTACAGAAACATCACTGACTGTTTCAAGGAGAATTCTTTTGGTTATTGATAACTTGGCTGCTTCCTACTGTGGCTTTTAAGTTTTTTCTAGAGTGAGACTTAAAAACAACAACAGCAAAAGAAAAAATTCCCACTAAATCAAAAAGTAATTTCTTTAAAAAATTTGCAGTGTTGTTGAAATTATTGTTGAAGGCTAGCATGTTTATACATAACAAGTTTAGAAGAAGGTAAAATTTAATTTTGCTTTCTCCAGATAAAAACATAGAAGAGAAATTAAGTAAAAAAAATTACATATATTCCATTGTGCATATGGTCTCTATAGGAGAAGGTTTGAGTGTAACTCCTAATCTGATGTGGGAAAGAGGACCGCTTTGAATGAGTAACGTTTTCCTGTCATTGAGGGTGTGTGTTTGTTTTTGGTAAGGCGCTTTCTCCTAATTGTCTAGCCTAACCAGAAATAAATTCAGTTACTCTTATTTAATTGAGATGAAATGAGATCTTGGAATTATTCTAGCACTTTTGTCTCATAAATACTAAATTGCTAATTAACTGTTAATAGTATTCTGTCTTTTCATAACAAATACAGTCCTTAGAACAGTGATTGATAATCTGCTACAGGGTTTATAAAACCCATTCCTACACCCATTTTCAGAGTGATGGCTTAGGGTATCATGGGCCACATTGAATAACAGAGTTCTTTAATATATAAACACAGGGAGTTTATGATGATTATTGATCTCTAGGTCTGGGTCCTTAGGAGAAACTTTTATTCTATCAGAAGACACATTGTGTGATGAGGCCTTGAATTGTATCTTTAGCACCACCAAAATAAAATTTTTTAAATTAAATTGACTTAACTCATATTTCTGAGCATTTGCTGTTTCTTAGAGGAGTACACAGGTCCTGAAAATGCTATTGTAAAATGGAGGCAAAAGCTTTTAGAATATATACCTGTTAAAGTAAAAGAAATATGAAAATAGTTATTTATAATAACTTTAATCACCAAGTATAGTTAGTTTTCATAAAATGCATTGTTTTAATTTTTATTAATAAGTTTGAGTGGTCAAAGTATTGACATTTTGCCTAACACAGGAATCAGTAGCTATGTCCCATATATATAT